ATAATTTTGTCTGCGGTTCTGTATGGGTGTGAAACTTGGTCTCTAACATTAAGGGAGGAACATGGACCTTTTTTTTTTNTAATGGTGGTCATACTGACTTGATTCACAGGGGATAAATATACATGCAATTGTCTTTCTTTCTGTATGATAGTTCCTAGTATTGTAATTGAAATAAAGATTTTATTAATAGATCAAATACTGGATCATTTCGTGCGCCGCTCTGTATATGTTGCTGTCTCGTCACCAGAATGCAGAGTAAAATCATGACACAAAAGTTACTAACAGATGTTTTGAAAATGTGGCAGAGTTCAGATATTTTGTAACGACTGTAACAAACCAAAATTTCATTCAGAAGGAAATTAGGGGAGACTGAATTCGGGTAATGCTTGCTACCATTCAGTCCAGAAACTTTGTCTATTCGTCTGCTGTCCAAAAACATAAAAATCAGAATATACAAAACCATAATTTTGTCTGCGGTTCTGTATGGGTGTGAAACTTGGTCTCTAACATTAAGGGAGGAACATGGACCTTTTTTTTTTTTTTAGAAGAGGGTGTTGAGGAGAATATTTGGATCGAAGAGAGATGAAGCGACAGGAGGTTGGAGAAAACTGCATAATGAGGAGCTTCATAACTTGTACTCTTCTCCAAGTATAATTAGAATGATCAAGTCAAGGAGGATGAGGTGGGCAGGGCATGTAGCACGGATGGGGGAGAATAGGAATGCATATAGGATATTGGTGGGAAAACCAGAAGGAAAGGGACCGCTAGGAAGACCAAAATGTAGGTGGGTGAAGAATATTAAAACGGATCTTAGAAAAATAGAATGAGGTAGTACGGACTGGATGGATCTAGCTCAGGATAGAGACCAGTGGAGGGCTCTTGTGATCACGGAAATGACTCTTCGGGTTGTTTAAAATGCTGGGATGTTCTTGAGTAGCTGCAGAATTGGCGGCTCTTCAAGAAGGGCTCAGCTCCGCGAAGTTAGTTAGATATGTAAAGTCCATCTACTTTACGCAGCAGTGTACGTCATATCTTGTGTAGGTAACCTTAAGGGAAAAGCCATCTGTAAGTGTGTTTGAACTTCTCACTGGAGAATGTGCGCCGAAGTATGATGATGTAATAACTCTCTAATGACGTAACTGTCCGCGTCACTAAGCGACTATGACGAGCCCTCGTTTCCTTCGTAGATGGAGTATGCATCTTAGCTAAGCTTTAGCGAGTGTTAGCAATGGCCTCATTTCCCCCAGTACCCAACTGCGTATTTATCAGTTGCGGTGTTGTTCAGGGACGTAACCATCGCAGTTGATGCAGTGTTTTCGTAAACATCATGCAATTGCAGGGAGTTAAGTCGAATGCTAGTGATTCTGTCACACCCAGTCATATAAAGTTTCTCCATTCTATTCCATGACTGCTATGGGAAGGTGGAGGTATAGGTCCATGCATTCTTAACCTCGGAAGTAGAGAGAGGTGAGTGATTACCTTCACGCCCCAGCCACTTTATTCGCGGGAACGAACCCCCGATAGCCATTCGGTAGGAGGCTGGGTAGGACCCAGAGCCGGACCGAACTCTGCAGAGAAGAGAAAAACCTGTCCCGGCAGGAAATTGAACCCGAGTTCACTATGCCGACTGAGCTATCCCTACCCCCCTCCTAATCGTGTAACTTTCATAACTTGACCGGTTCGACGTGAAATTCTAAGTTTTCCAGTAACTTATGAGAATGGATTGATTTGTGGAAGGTGAGTCAGACAGGAAAGATGAAGACTGGATGATTTATAAACTGAAATATGGCCCAGGCCTCTAGGTCTGTGAGGTTTGAGCTTTCACCCTGGAAAAGTTTTGGTGTGGTTGCCACCGCCGCGAAAGGATGTCTTAGCTCCATCTGAAGAGTGGACGATGGAGGCAGGAGGTCCCTCCGAAACAACCCACCAGTTTTGCGGATCCCCAAACTAAAATGTATTTTTCAACTCAGTTGAAGAAATTTTACGTCATTTAAATTGTGATCTTCCTGGTTATGACACCGCGTCTTCTGAGAGGTTCTAACCAACCTTTTGGAAGCAGTCTTCATGCTTGCAGTTTTCAGGCCAAAATAGCGTATGCATCTCTCACTTCCGANGAAGGGAACAAATTGTAACTGTCTCCTTTCTGTTAATGCCTCAGTAGGTCGAATTTGTGAAATATTAGTGTCGGATAAAGCACCTTCTGGTGTGTCACAGCCCTGTTGTTATGTGGACATCCCTGCTGAGGGCCAAGCTGGAGGACGAGGTCGTCCGCATCGGGATCAATACTTGGCCAGCGACATCGGCGTCGGTGGTTCCAAGTGCCAAGGGGCTGAAATACCTTGAGTCACCGGCCAGGTTCCGGGACCACTGAAATGTAGGAACACTGTTCATGCGTTGAAGTCATGTGATGCACAATCCAAGTGTGTGAAATCGTCCTGGCAACGGTGAAATTCAGGATGTAAGAGCAACCCATGCTTCACGGTCGCATATACGCTGCGTTTCCAGCCGTCTTCGTGCATCTTGTTTGTTCTTTTGTTTCCTTAACGTCGCTTGGTTTATTTTACAACAGTCTGTAAAATAATGTGACGCATTTGATCATTACTAGTAGTAGGATATCCATTGCTAGGTAACGAACCAATAAACATGTATTCCTGATAACAGCAGACGGTGTTTTCCGTGGGGTCCATGCCTGTGTGGAGGCGGGGTCGAATACCTCCACCGTAGCCCTGCGAGTCGTAGAAAGCGAGGAAAACGGAAGTCTCGAATCTGAGACAGTAAAATATGGTCGCGAGTCCCGCAGAACTCGGACCCGCGAATGACTGCGCTGGCGAGGGCTAGCAGCAAATGTAAACGACAGACCCGTCCTCTCGTCAGAGAAAGTGCGCCCCACATCAACAAACACACAACTGACTGACAGTAATAAAATCTGGTCGTAAGCCCCAGATGGGTGCTTTATTCCAAGAGAGACTGGCTGACTGACTGTCTGTCGTAACATAAGACTCAGACTCAGTATGGAAGAAGACAGAAGCGTACAGAAGTGTACAAGGAGTACAAGGAGTACAACGGAGTACAACGGAGAACGAGAATGGAGCGTGTCCTAGTGATTTGTGAAGTGGGTAGATTAGCGTTAGCGCTATAGTTGTTTGTGATTAAGAGAGACCGTAAAAGAACGTGTTAATAAATCCAATAATGTAATACAAAACCCGTTATTATTAGTCACGGAGCCCCGGACACGTGACAATATATAGGTTATGCAACGTAGGTTGTCAGGTCATGCAGTTCTTGACTTCCTGAACGATGTCTTTCCAATCACATGTGTGCGTTATACAGCACCGGCTTGAATGAATATCTGATCGCTGGAAAATTATTGATTTGTTTAACAATGATTTATCAATTGTATACTGACTGTATAGCATACATTATCAGGTGATGTGATTCTTTGACTATTTCACTGCGCTTTTCAGATGCGCTGGTTATGTAGCACAGAATGTCGTGCCATAGCTCAGCCGGCCCGGGTTCGAGCCCAGGTCAGGTCATGTGGGATTTGTGGTGGACTTAGTGACATTAGGGCAGGATTCCTCCGAGTACTTCTGTTTCCCCTTCCAATTATCATCCCACCGACTGCTCCACATTCATTATATTCTGTAATCCGGGGTTGGTACAATAGGCAAGTTAGTGACCGACGTACCAAATGGACTCAGTCTCACCCCAGCCCAAGAAACTAAAAAGAACTATGTCGTACAGAATGTCGGGGCGTCTTTGTGTAGGTTCTTGGTATTATTTAATGACAGTTTCTCAACATGTAGGTTACATAACGTTGTGGTTGCGGATCTTGGAACATCCCTTTCTAATTTTATGTTGGTTTTCAACTGCACTGGTTATAGGGCGTCGAATGGAAGGATGATTATGAATGTAGAATATGAAAACAATATGGATGGAAGCAGTTATGGCCTGTTTCTGGGTACTATCCCAGAATGTGCCTCGAAGGACTGAGGAAGAGTATGAAAACATCATGTCCCCGAGCCGATGCTGAAATTCGAGTCTTGCTAACTTCGAAGCGGGGTGCTAGTCACAGGATAACGTAAATATGAAATGGTACTTTTGAGATTAGATTCAGTCGCTGAAGATGTATTCTGGGTTCTGATTCTCCGACGTTTTGGAGAATGCTTCAGAGTATAAAAGCGAATCCCATCACTACGACTTCCGATATGGTGGAGAACTTCCACCACACTACACGGCTCCCAGAGGACAGCACTGTCCCTAGTCAGTACGATGGAAACGTCAGATCTCACAGATAGATTTTCGCCTATCGTGGAAATTTTCTGGAGTGATGTCTCTCAGGACAATGACTCTGACAAAAGACAGACCCGTCCTCTCGTCAGAGAAGGCGCCCCACAAAAACAAGACCGAAACTGTCAAACAGTAATAAATATCGGGTCATAAGTCCCAGATTGGCTCGACACCAAGACTGACCGACTGATGGACTGTCAATCGCAACTTGACTGACTGTCAATCGCAACTTGATTTTGACTTTGACTCACATCCATCTAATGCTAGTAAAGTTAAGAGTTCATCGAGCTGTATCTCCACCTTCCATACGTCTTCATGGCGTAGGGAGCACAAGGGAAACTTCTTGTCTTTATTATTAAACTTGTGGGCTTGATGTTGGAAGGCGGAATATTAAGCAAATTTAAATTTGAAATTTTATTTGTAAAAGGAATTGTATTCATGGGGTTACTGAACTTGTTGTCGTGATGTTTATGAATAGCCTGAAGATAACGTCATATGACGAAACACGTAACAGATTTAGTATATTTGTAACAAAATGTTAACGCGCGTACGACAATAAAACACTGTGCAGCGTGAATCAAGTCACAAAAATCAGATTGGTATAGAAGTGGCTGTTTGTGAGGGAGTGACCTTGGTACCTCCGGAGCGGCTGGGGAAGCGAAGCGGCCGAAGTCCAAGCGGTTGACGAGGACGGATATGTTCGTATTTTCTCTCGAGTCGCTTGTGTTCGCTGTTGCTGCCGGCTGAACAGGGGAAGGTTCAGACGAAGGAAATCTGTTTCTTCTGCCTTTCATACAATGGCAGAAACGTTAGCGGAACTTATAATTCGTGAAGTAAAACGCAGACGCATTCTGTGGGATATCAAGCACAACACTTATCATAATCGGAAGCTTGTGGACAGGGCATGGAGCGAGATAGCAGAAAATGTAGGAGAAACAAGTAAGTTCTTTCTCAAATGTTCCTATGGACTTTGCAGTTTCACAACACGATTACACTGAAAGAAATCAGATACAAATAAGAAATTTCCAACGTTATTATCCGTACCAGTTTGTACAAACCGATCACATTAGAAATAACAGAAGACTGAAGCATGCGCTGTACAGTGCTGAAGCTGAGTTGTGTACGTAGCTTGGAGCTTGGAAAACCTACATTTTTTTATTACATACACAGCTGTTCTGAATAATGGATTCTCTCTCTTTCATGGTGGCATATATGCCCTCGGGCCTGCTCTTACAGCTATGAATTTATGTTAATTATGTTAAACGTTCCAAATTTGTAATGGCATTGTGCAGTAATGTTGTTGCTTTGCAATGCGTACAGTGTTTGTCTCAATCGCCTTTCTAAGAGATGAAATATTGTGATAATACTACCAACAGAGCATTTCACTAACATCCCAGTTCGAGGGAATTTGTAATGAAACTCGTCATCTTCTTCCCCTTCTTGTTATTGAGCTCGTGGGAAATGTCTCGTTGGGTGCTCAGCGAGAGTATACGCCTCGTCACGAAGGAATACAAAAGATGTTTTCATCGCTGAAATTGGTAGCCATTTTTCTTCTGGTGCGCAACGTAGAGGACCGTTGTCAAAACACTCAGCATTACTGTCTTTTCCAAAAGAGCCAACACGAACTTGTTATTCGCATCTGTGACCGTAAGCAGGCAGACAGAATAATAATTTTTGTAACAGTAGTACACTGAGCCGGGATTTCATGGGCGTTTAATTCTTGTATGTTTACCATCAATACACCCTAATCAACTGGGAAATAACCATGCATCCCAAAATTCTTCAGATTCTTTTGTGCAAATTATGCAACTGTGGGCTCTGGCATGTACTGTTTCTGTGACTTTTCCCTGCATAGCTTTACATTCATGCACACCTACAGTCATGGCGCTTTTCAGAATACTAAATGAGTAAGCAAGTTGCCTGGACTTTAAGGCTGTAAGGTTCGGCCACACAGAGCGCTACGCTATTACGCTGCGTACGCTGTGTACACTCTGCGACGCAGCTAACATAGGGAACATAGCGTACGTAGCGTACGGAAGTCAGTGTGCCCAGTCACATTGGCAATAAAGGGAGATATTTTTCTGTTCGTATAGCGAACATAGCATACGTAGCGCTCTGTGTGGCTGAACCTGTAACCAAATACTGCAGACATGAAAATTATACTTAATTTCTTTTCTCTTTGTTTTTATATGCAGAGGAGACAGTTAAGACCAAATGGAAAAACCTGCGAGACACTTTCCGCAAAGAGCTCAAAAAGGCACCGAGAAGTTGCTCCGGGGACGGTGAAGAGCACGCTCCGCGCTACCTTGGGTCTTGGCCTCACTACGGCGCCATGTTGTTTCTTCGGTCTGTCATTACACCAAGACTGACCAAAGGCAATACTGAGGATCCTGTTGTTTCAAACACAATCGCCGCAGCTGCGAATGAATGCGACATTGAATGTGTTCAATTTAAAGAAGAAGTTGATACCTACGGAAGTGACAGTGAATCTTTCCAGTCGTTTCAATTGAACGCGTCTTCTGATCAGCCACTTCCATCTTCACAGCTCTCAACTTCCGTACTACATGAAACATGTGAGAAAACTCGAGGTACAGAAGTAAGAATGTTACAGTCTAACAATCAGATGGAATTAGAACAGCTTGAAAATTCCTTTCCCGGCACGACTGAGCCAGCTCATGCAAACAGAATATCCTCTGCTGCGTCCAAAACACGCAACACCATGAGTTCCATAAATTTTGATGAGGATTTGTTGGAAACCGAGTCTAAAACACTTTCGTTGCTAAGAGGGCAGTCTGATGAAGATGACGAGGATATGCATTTCTTCAAATCCCTTCTACCTCACGTCAAGCAGCTCCCTTCCATTAGTAAGTTGTATTTTCGAAGCCAAGTTCAAAACGTATTGGCCCATGAGCTGTCTAAAATATAGAGCCCCCTCCTTCAGTTTCTACATGTCAGAAAAGTCCTTCTTCTGCCTCGTTTGTCACAAGCGGATCCATATATTGCCAAATCACGCGGCACCCCCCGGTGAGCATTAATGATGCATAAGCGTGCCTAACAACGTTTTCACGAATTGTGCCATGTTTCCACGAGAACCATAACCTGACATGCCGTTTTCTTTTACTAAAGCAGCTCTGTAACTTTGTTTTTCTCCCATCCGTTAAGAATGCCCAGTTCTCTCCTTTGTATTCTTTAATAAAATAGGCTTATTAAAAACGAGATTGTTTCATTTTGTTACCTGATAGTCAACATGAACCTCTGCTGTAGTGATCGCTTATGTGAGATAAGAGAATTGGATGTATGTCTCTTGAAGCTCTCCTTGAATTTTACCTGTAACTTCAATGAAAATAATATTCAGTTATGTACCAACACTGTGCTCAGGAAAATGACGCGCTGTAAAGCAAGCACTACCAGTGCAAGTCTGGTTGCCTCACAGTACCATCACAGATTGATTGGGGTGGGATCCGTGGTACCAGCCATTTCATTACCTTGTTACAGATCACTATCATTTTATATACCTACCAGTAACTATGTACATTATTCTAGCGGCCTCCGTAGTCTAGGGGTAACGTTCCCACCTCATGACTCAAGGTACGCGGGTTCAAAAACCCGGCGGAGGTCGTGGAATTTTTAAGGGCGGAAAAATTCAGGGAACAAGTCCTCCGGGAGGGACTTTAAGCCGTGGGCACCGTGTCGTAGATTTACGGCACGTAAAAGAACCTCATGTCTCTAGGAGACCTCTGAGCAAAATTAGGCCAAGTTTCCCGCCCAACTAGTTTCCAATTCCTCCGGTAAATGGGGGAAGTATCAGGTACCACTGCCAGAGGAGGGGGGACCTCTCTGGCAGAAAGGGACTAAAAGTATTAGACACCACTGCCAAGTAGAGGGTAGAAACCTTGCTGGCAGAAAGGGGCTAGGAACCCCTGCCAGAGGAGGGACGACCTCGCTGACAGAAAGGGGCTGATAGTAAGCACCAGTACCGGTAGGGTATGGAGACAGTAGAAATTAAGGGGGGACGCACAGTGGACCAGTAACCGGTCTAAGTGCATGGGGAAACCCACCCCCTCAATACGGAATACGGACGGAAATGTACATTATTCTGGACAATGGTCCATAGCCTTGATTTTCCCATTAGTCGTCGGTTGACGGGAGGGGGGTGCTCAAACTAAGCATCTCATCTCCCTGGATTGAAAAAAATTTAGAAAATAAGGAAATACATCAAATAATAACATTAAGAAATACAGATTTTTTAATTAGTAAACATTTTTGAACGCCTTAAATTTAAGTTGGTAAACAAAATTTCAGACCTTCCACCTTCTTATAAAACTTGATAGTACCTCCTCCCCCAGAAAACTAGCCGCTTGCTCTAGAAAGAATTCTGGTGGTGCCCATGCTGTTTGGGTCATCAGGTGTAAGCAGAGGAATAAGAGTTCCCTATTCAGTTGGAATCAGCAAATCTCAATCGCTGGAGAAATGAGATACCTTTTCACCACGCACCTGATAACAGAAACAGGTCCAGTTTCCGAAATGTTGTGTCTAAAGCACTCGGGTGGTTTTTTATAATTTGCGAGAAAAAAAGGGGGGGGGGAGACTTGACTTTGCTTGGCATGCCGGGCTGTAGTGGGCCTATTGAGCCAGCCCTGGATGATGCTAACATATGAACATGAAGGCGTTGTTTGAATGAAAATTGTCAGGGGAAACTTAAACACTTAAACAGAGCCTGCCCCACTACCACTTTCCTCCACCATAAATCCAGTATGACCTGACATGGGATCGAACCCGAGCCATGTGGTAGGGCCGAACCTTCCTCAATTAATCCTATACATTGGTTTTCATGGACTTGGTTTGTCGAATAGGTTTGTTGCATAAAATATCCACCTCCTTTTCTACCTTAGTTTAAGTTCCGTGCACGCTTTATCACAATTTCTGTTGTACATTTTTCCTGTTATTTGCCTTCGACAAAACCTGGTCTCAGATATTTATAATAGCTGTAATTATGCTGACATATGTTGTCGCCTGACAGTAGGAGTGGAGGAGAGTTGAGTTGAAGTTGATAGTTCGTTACTGAGCAACGACTAGTGAAGGTTGTGACAGACCGAGGCAGTGTGTACTATATATAGTGTTTGAGAGGAGGATATGAGAATTTGAGCTGTTGCAGTTAGTGAGAGTTAGTGAGCAAAACGAACAGTACGATGAGCTTGAGTGTACACAAAAATGGCGGACGTCGCAGTACCTGGATTCCGGAAATACTGGACACAGAAGCTAGCATCGCTCAAATCTGAAAGTCATGCCATCACGAATAAATACCCAGGAGCAGCTTCTATAGTGCAATAAGTATACGGGGTGTCCCAGGAGGAATGGACCAAACTTCGGGAGGGTGTTCCTTATGTTAAAGTATGCCGATATAACCCAAAACACCTATGTCCAAAGTTGAACGGTTACGGAGATAATGGCCAGAGAAGTGTCAAACTTTGACCGGCGTTGCACACTTGTTGATTATAAAATACATATTAAAACTGGCAGGAATATGTGGATTCTGTAATGTTAATAATGTACGTAACATCAAACTAACTTGTGAGTGACATGAAGCCATAAAATTGAAGTACAAAATACTCGCTCGCCATGTCATAATTGTCCTTAGGGTTTCCAAGCACTATACATGACACATGAATGGCAATCGCTGACGTAACGTGCTGACTGCGCGTTCTGATAAAGCCAACTACATAAGCACGGCTAGGGTGAATCACGGCACTCAAGGACAAACATAGATAAGGCCTCTCAGCTGATAGGTATAATCCGTGTACCCGCTAGAAGACCACACTTTTCTTGGGCCATTATCTCCGTAACCGTTCAACTTTGGACATAGGTGTTTTGGGTTATATCGGCATACTTTAACATAAGGAACACACTCCCGAAGTTTGGTCCATTCCTCCTGGGACATCCTGTATAAATTACTCACTGACGTTGAGAAGCTTGCCGGATGCTCACCGGCTGAAGAGGGGTAAAGCATTGAGTGCACCCCTATTTTGAATAGCACGGAAGAGAATAGAAACACTTTTGCAAGACCCTGGATGGGAAGCCGCTTTTCAGCGCTTTTCATGGCATGTACACAGTAAAACTGAATGAACTGAAGCCCGTCCTGAAGGTGAGTGCACAGGCAGGAAAAGCGGTGTAAGGAACAGAACTTCAGTGGAATCAACGGCCCAGGATGACTTCCGAGAAGAGACGCAAGAGGCATATCTCTAATAGCTTGCATACAGCCAAGAATTCGACTAAACCAGTCCCAATATCCACAGCTTACAAGCTGCCCCCAAAAGCAGTGTTAACTTGCAACTTCTTCGCACATCTCAGAATTACTGACCAGTTAGGCGGCCATCAATAATGACGGCTTCTAGCACGGACCCCATTCGACCCCAGAGGGACTTAAAAAACCACGACAAGAGTACGAGTTCCGAAACACACGAAACTGAACCCGTATCATAACAAAGGAAATGGCGGACTATTCAGCCTTGAAATCCTACCTGGAGATGAATAATCTCCACTAGTTTACCTTCCCTCCAAATTCCGAAAAACTTAAAAAGGCAGTAATCCGCCCCCCCCCCCGACACGCCAGCGGAAGATATTTTCAACAGTCTTGAGGACTTACAATTCAACGTCATGAAAGTGAGGCAAATGGCCGCCACTCGAACAGCACGGACGGAAGATAAGCCGCAGACCATCTGCTTTTCCCATAGACTTAGGCCCCCTGAAGCTCATCTTACATTGAATGGACGGAATATCCCCTTCGTCAATCATGTAAAATATCTAGGTGTTATGTTCGATAAGAGGATTACATGGAAACTGCGCATAGAAATGATCGAAGCCAAACCTTTAGAACATTTGTTAGAATCTACTCCTTATTTAAAAGTGAGCATTTAAGCTGCAAAATTAAACTAACCCTCTATAAACCACTCATTAGATTAGCGATGACTTATGCTTGCCCCTCCTGAGGATTTGCGGCAGACATCTGTCCTTAAAATTGCAGCGCCTGCAAAATGAAGTTCTCCGGCCCACTGGAAATTTTCCAAGGTGCACATGGGTCCGCGATTTGCACACTGCTTTCAGTCTTCCGTATGTATACGATTATATAACAAAATTGTGCAGGCAACAAGCAGAAGTCATACAAATCATGAAAATTAACATATTCGCAGGATAGGACAAGGCGAAACCAGATACAGAAATTATAAGAGGCGGCGGTCAAACTTACGACCGTTAAACTGACTAAGCTGCTGTTGTAACATAAGACACGTAAGATAGGCATGGTTTGCTTTGCAAAGCCTGGACTGACAGAGGAGTTCTACACAATGCACAAGGAAGAGTTTTCAATAACATGCTATATGAGCCATACGTACATTTGACAAAGGCGAAGCATAAGCGTACATAAGCGACAAACCCACCCTATTGTTAGCGAGGTTGTTACATAAGGAATAAAACGGCAAGAGTTCGGTTTAAAAAAGTGTGGCCGTGACCTCAAGGGGCTTGGCGGCAAACCGCCAGTCGTACAGTGACTCTGAAACAAGTTGTGCAGTGATTGAGGTTAGCCCTTTATAACGGATCCAACAGAGTTCCCTCCCCCAGTGATCTGATGACGGAAACAGATCTAGTTTCCGAAACGGTATGTTCTCTAGTTTTTTAGAATAACGGAAGATGGAAAGAGTCCAAAAACCCAGTAATTCAGAGTAATGATCCCTGTTTTCGAACGGGGTTAGATTGTACGACTCATTTTACTTCGGTGAAATGAAATTAAAGTTGGCTTTGTAGATGAATATACATAATTTTCCACCCTCATTTACCGGTTTCATCCAGTCTGGACTTATGGAATACAGCTGTGGGGTTGTGCCAGTAAGAGTAGCATCTAAAGAATACAGAGATTTCAGAACAAAGTGCTGAGGTGTATNTTCCTAAGGGGGAGGTGTTGTATATGGGTCTACAAGGGATTTATTGCATATAATGATGACATTAAATTACCTGTAGAAATAGGTACAAATACCAAGGTATTGCATATAATTGGATTATTTTAACAGAATATATGTATAAGCTGTGTAAGCTGTATTCTTCCACAAAGTGTTGTCAGCCGGCCGGATATCAATTGAACTTGTGACCCGAGACACTACGTCACATTTGGAGTGAGGGCCCGCACAGCGCTGGGAATAATACAGCAGCCGAGATTGAAGTTCAAGTGACTACTTTTGTAACCA